CTATTTTCGTGGGTCGGTCGGAGGACAGGAAACATATAATTTTTTAAGGATGGCCTTACTTGTTAATTCTCGGTCAGGGGATAGACTGCCAAACTGCCCGACACACCTCAAATTCGTGGGGAATACCCTGATGCAAGTATATAAGTATGAACATATATATATATAAAGTATATAGTATAGATCTATATATGTTCATGATATGGAGTATAGTACGTGCCTTACTATATGAGGTCAAGTGAAACAGAGGAAAAAAACTATTTGAGTGAAAACAAATGTAGAAATTATTCGTGTATGTAGTAATGTACATTAGCTTGTAAAGATGTGACTGTAATACCCCTGATCTTCCATGAGGTCTTGCAGCTCGATGACTCGCACCTCTACATGCCATTTCCGCTACCTACATAATTACCTAAACGAATCAATAAAATTAATAAATAAAATAACTACCCCTGATCTTCCATGAGGTCTTGCAGCTCGATCACGCGCAGCTCGACGCGGCGTTTCTGCTCGTGGGCAAGGATCTCCTTGTTCGGCTGCTTTATCATAGACGCCTCGAGTCGTTGGATGTCCTCCTCCGTCTTGTACGCGACCTTCTCCTTGCGGTGCCGCACCGCCGACAGGTTGCGCTGCACGTAGCCGTTCGTGCCGCTGCCCCGCGTAGTCGACAGCCCGATGCCGTTATACATGATGGCGACGTGTCGCAAATCTAAACAAAGATGCGAGAAAAAGATATGTGTTAGCCTTCTGACGTCATAGGAGCTTTAACCGACGAACGCTGCCCAGTATAGTACTACTACTAGACTGAGTACACGATATACCGTCTTCGATATAGTACTACTAGTACTAGTAGTAGTAGTAGTAGTAGGACCTACCTTGGACTTTGAAGAAAATGTTTGATAATGTTACGATGCGCCTGTCGCTTAGCCTAGGTCCGGTGCTAGACTAGTGCTGGGGTGGACTAGCTGGCGCTGCGGTAGACCGAATAATTCTGTCCCAGATAACGTTTTATATTTTGGATGCGTTATACCAATAACCCTCACCAAAAGATAAAAAAAAGTTATCTGGGACAGAATTATTCGGTCTAGCGCCGCGGTACACTGCGGCGGTAGCCCTAGCCTAGGTACGAAAGTTCTGACACATTCTCATCCGTACGGACCGTCCCCAGCAAGTTTACATATCTACTATTCGTATATTAGTTTTATAAACGAAGAATACTTACTATAACAGGCGACTGAATGCGTATGTAACAACAAGAAACTGGCTCAGAAAAAGTTCGAGTAACAATAAATGGCGACGCACGAACTTACGCGCTTGTGCGGTTTACAAACGCATGTGTGACGTCGTTATTACCCACAATCCATCCAGTGAAAGATGGCGGCCCCCATTCCCAAAGTAAAAATAATGCAGTTATTGTTATGTAGCACTACTTGCTGCACGTTTTTACTATTTTTATACTCGTTGTTATAAATACATTTATACACACATATGCTACATAGATATACGCATACAGATGATATATAAATTCGTATTTTCATTAAGAATTCAGTATTAGTGAGTAAAACTGTAGTGACTGTAGCTTGCACTTGCAAGTTGCAGTGACAGTGTTCAACGTGAGTGTTTGTAAACTTTTATTTCACTTTTCAGGATGGTAAGCAGTCTGATCCACGGTATCAACTATTCACTACAGTGTATGCAACATGCTTTTCTCCATGTGGGCGTTATCTGGTAGCGGGTAACAACTTTGGAAAAATAGCTGTCTACAGGTAAATATTATTGAAGGTAGTAAAGTAAACAAATACAAAAATAGGTATGAATGGCTGAGAATGCCACCGCAGCACACTTATCTTTATTGCTTACACAATCTTATCTTTATGATGCAATGTCCAGTGCCAGTGACATGAACGGTTCATGTTACCCTCTATTCCAAAGAGCAAATTTCAGCTCTTCTTTGTTCCATTAGAAATTATCATGAGATTTCAACCTCGAAATACACTATACCCGGTAGTATATAGAATATATGTTAGTACACCCTTATATTCTATATATATATATAAATATATAGAATATACGGGTGTATTAATTTGAGGATTTAAATGCGATATGCTAATATATATTTGGCAATTATATGGTTTATTAATTGGGTGTTTGCCGACAGCTTGTCTTCTGCACTAAGCCCTGATGCTACAGAAGAAAACAAGGCACCGCTATATATCTACAGAGCTCATGACGGACCAATATACAGTTTCTCATCTACAGACACATTCCTGATAAGGTACATTAATTAAGATAGTGACAGCTATAGGGCATCATTGATGTACAAGAGGTCATGTTCACTGTATATAAATTCTAAAATTAGAACACGTGTAATTATTCATGGTAACAAGTAAATCCTTTGTGAACTTTTCATGAAGATGATCTAAATTAACTTCTAATATTACAAATGAAATACTAAAATAATAGTCTAAATAGCTAGATCCTGTATTATAAAATCTAATCATAGCTTTCTTTTTCAATTACTTTCTTCTTCAGTGCTGGCACACGGGATGTCCTTGGCTGGAAGTGGAAGGACTTAATAGCTCGGGAGCCTAAAGTCGCGTGGGTGCTGGCAATACCACGGGGGGATGGATTTGAAAGCCCAGAGACGAACGCTCTTGCATTGTCTAACACGAGCAATGGAACACAAACGCTGTATGCAGGCTGTGGCGATAACAACATATACGGCTGGGAGCTTGACACAGGCACTTGTGTGGTGGGTATCAGGACAGTTAGGGTCATCGCACGATGTTTTTAATTTACGTAAATTACGCGAATTTTTATATTAGCTGGTACTGAGAATAGCGCACAGATTGACAGAAAAGTTTTTACTGAAGCTTTGTATTTTTTCAGGAGTGGAGATTTTTGACGAACATGTAATGCTTCACGCACTGATCACATGCCTTTATTCACACAAGAAAATATGCAAATATATGGAAAACCAATTTCGATCGACACTTTTACTTGCATGTTTTTGGCTGGGCTGGGTGCTTGACAGCAGTTTACTATAATTTGCAGATGACAATGAAAGGGCACTCGGACTTTGTCCATTGCCTTGCAACAAAGAACTCAGGAAACGAGCTGGTTTCCGGTAGTGAGGATGGCTCTGTGCGCATATGGGGTGAGAGTTATTCCCTTTAAGCATCGCACACTAGTTGTGTCTAGTACAGCTGTTACCAACGGGGTAGATTGCAACGTTAGGTGGGCGCGTATAATAATTCACGTATGCCTCGCTCTCTCATGAATGCTATGTGATTAGTCAGAGCTTACCGAAAGTTATCCTGAGGTCCATCGCGTACATTGGATGCAGATATGTGTGAATGTTATTATTATTATTAAATCTTTATTGCATGTAATTCAAATACAAATACATGTACTGAAGACAGTCTTTTTCATGGAGAAAACGTCAGATAGATGCAATAGTGTTGAGTAGTAAAAATAATAAGATTTCTGAGTGATACAGTACAAAACAGCACTATACAACATGCAGGGAAAAAAAATCCGAATATTTTGTATCTGTGTCATCGTTTCGTGTTTCAGATCCTCGATGCCCAGAAGAACACGTGCAGATGTTTGAGCCGAGCAAACACGATGTGAGTCTTCCGTTTCTGTTTGCATTTCTTTCACAGTTACACCTTTTAGCCAAAGAAAGTTAGGCAAATCTCTAACACCCTGTCTGTAGTACTCGAACCATGCTTTCATATGATAAATGCAAGAAGATGACATAATTTGGTAATAAGATTAATATTTACTAATTATATTATATTTAGTTTAATGATTTAATTTAATTTCATTAATTTAATATAATAATTTAATAATTGGTTGGAATAAGATTACTAGCCGTCTCCAGCGGTGGTGCATGTGAGGAGGAACGGTTGTACCCGCAGGTGTGTTCGCGACCAAAACTCGGACCGTGGATCTCATGCGTGGCGGCGGACCCGAGCGACGACTGGATCGTCTGCGGTGGCGGCCCCGCGCTGTCGCTGTGGCACACA